AGTTAACTTCTTATCTAATGCACAAAAGCTTCAAAAGAGGGGGAGCAGATAAAACCTTGTTTATTTTCAAGAAAGGAAAAGACTTTCTTGTTGCTCAAATTTATGTGGATGATATTATTTTTTGTGCTACTTATGATAACCTTATCCATGATTTTGCTAGAAATATGAATAATACTTTTGAAATGAGCATGGTTGGTGAACTAATTTGTTTTTTAGGTCTCCAAGTGAAACAACTTGATAATGGGGTTTTCATATCTCAAATAAAGTATGCAAATGAGCTAGTTAAGAAATTTGGTTTGTAAGATTCAAAACATGTGCAAACTTCTATGAGTACTTTATCCAAATTGGATAGAGAATCTGATCCTAAAAAGGTTGATCCTTCTTTGTATAGGAGTATTATTGGTAGCTTATTGTATTTGGCAGTTAGTAGGCCAGATATTTCTTTTAGTGTAAGTGTGTGTGCTAGGTATCAAGCTGATCCTAGAGAATAACACGTTCTTGCAGTCAAGCGCATTATTCGTTATGTCAATAATATATTGAATTACGGATTGCGTTATTCTTCTAAGTCTAACTTTGAGATTATAGGCTATACTGATGTTAATTGGGCTGGTAACAAGGATGATAGAAAGAGTATTTTAGGTGGTTGTTTCTATGTTGGTATTAATCTTGTTTCATGGTACAACAAGAAGCAAAATTGCATATCCTTATCATCTTCTGAGGCTGAATACATTGCTGATGTAAGTTGTTGCATACAATTATTTTGGATAAAACAGATGTTTCTAGATTATAGAGTTGATCAAGGCACTATTGTTATCTTTTGTGATAATACTAGTACAATTAATATTTTAAAGAATCTAGTTTTTCATTCTAGAACTAAGTACATTGACATTCGATATCATTTTCTTTGGGGAACTTGTAAAACAAAATGTCATATGTTTGAAAAAAGTGCATACTGATCAGAATTTGACTGACATTCTCACTAAGCCATTAAATGCTCCTAAGTTTTTTCATCTTAGGAAATCTATAGGCATTTGTTGTCTTGATTAGATGCACTGCATAGACATAATCTAGAAAGGATCTTTATACATATCTTGAGTGCCTAGATTATGATTTTAGTTTGGTGGAGCTTGGTTTTTGTTTTATTTTTTTTGAAATTAAACAAACCATATTGATTGAGTATGTTGAACACAAGGAGTCAAATGACACATACATTATATGTGTAAAACATACTATGACAATAAATTGATGAAATTGGTTTTCCTTACTTATTTCGTATAGTAAATGGATCATTGATAGTACATTTTCTTATTTTTTATGTTATTATTTTGGTCAAAGATGGTGTTGACATGATTAAGCATTTTCTTAGAATTTAAACTTGATTTATATGGTTTAGACCAAAAGAGTGAAATAAAAAAATAAAAATAAAAATTTTAAAAACAACTTGGAATGAAAAGTTTGAAAAAAAAAATGAAAATAATTGATGTTGAAAAATTATGAGAGTTGGAAAAGGCTACATTTGGGATTGTCCGAAACTACCTTGACTCAAAACAAATAGGAATAAGGGAAAGAGCTAGCTGCCAACAAGAGTGAAAGCCGCCAATGTGCAAAAAGAAAAATGGTGCACAAAGAGAGTAAAAAAAAAAGGGGGTCTTTTGCACATGTTGGTTGTTTGATTTATAAGGATATGTGATATCATTGATTTATTGTCTGAAATCTAAAGAGTTGACAGATCATATGTTTTGACACTTGGTGGGGATTTTACTACACTTACTAAGTTTGTGGAACTTAAATGAATTGATCTTGGTTATATATGTGTTATTCATATAGTCTTATGGAGTCTATATTCTCATTGGCTCCAGTTTACAAGTTCTATATGATTGATTGCTTCCTTCTTCTAGGATATTTATTCATTTAGACCCTTATCAATTTTTGACGAAAAGGAATAGAGTTAAAATTGATATCATTTTAGGGAGAGGGGGAGAACACTTGATCATTGCATTTACTATGCATTGACTTTTTGGCATTATTAGCTTAATTTCATTGTTATTTTATGCTTGTGTTTATCTTTTTTTATTAAGCTTCACGGGTAGTTTTTGTTTGAGCTGATGTGCAGATTACAGTTTAAAGATGCTACAAGTGTTGAAGCTTCATGTGGTTCAAAAAGGGTTCCGCTTTTATTAACTTTTGACAATCATTGTAATTTGCTTTTTCTGCTTGGTTAGATTACATGTTGCTTTTAATGTTTTGTCTCGAAATTGCAAAAGGGGGAGATTGTGAGATATATAGTTTGTAATTGGCTAATTACATTGTCAAAATAAGTCCGATCGAGTTGTAAAATTTCTGTTCAGAATTTCAAGATTTAAGATCGGTAGCAGATTTGAAGATTTTCAAGTGTTTATGCTTTAATACACCCCGAGATGATGAAAACAATACTTTAGAAAGGTATGTGAGTGTGCGAGAACACTTAGGAAGTTTGAAATTTTTAGGAAGTTTACATTCTGCCAAATTCGAACTAGTAGAAGAATCAAGGAACAAGTTCAACATTGTGGACATTCAAGATGGGTCATCTTAAACCGGTAGGAGATTCCTAAACCGGTTCAAGAATCACGAAGGATTCTTCACAAGCCATCTTGAACCGGTAGGCAATTCCTGAACCGATTCAAGATTTTAGATCTGTTTAAGTAACTTTCGTTTTCTGATATGTTTTGATTCCTTTTTGGTCTAAACTTACTTCCAAAAACATATGCACGAATTTGACTTGTTTTATAAGTATTCTTAGGACTTCCAAACTTCTATATAATGTCTCTTTCATTCAACATTGAGGGATGCCTTTGAGGAACAAAAATTCATTATTTCGAGAAAGTGTTTTTAGAGATATTTTTTTAGAAAACCAAATATGAATTTTCTGATTTTATTTTTGAGAGCACACACAGATATACATGAGTGATTTAATTGTGTTGTTCTCTATCTCATTGGAATCGGAGCATAAATGAAGATTCAGAGATTTCGAAAGGCAGATCTATTTATTCTACATCAAATTCAAATCTTGAAGAAAATGGGTGAAGCGATCACACTTTGAAAGAGTTAAAGAATTCGATGAGTGTTGTTTGATCTACCAACAATCCTTCTACAGAGATCAATCGCAAAGCCAGAGGATTGTCAGCAATTGATTTTTGGTAGAATGATATGGTGTGAGCCTAAGTCAAAGTCTATTGTACTTTGTTTTATATATAGTGGATCATCTACTAGATTTTTCCCACAACAATTGGTCTATTATGCCAATTGGGGTTTACTCACTAAAAATCTTAATGCCATATCTCTAACTTTACTTGCTTTAATTTTCAGTATTTATCTTTGTGATTGTGGATGTCTAATTGATCATATTGCTTAAGTAATTTAATCAATCACAATAAAAAATAAAAAAATAAAAAATAAAAAATAAAAATTGAACAAGTTGACTTATTAATCTCATCTAGATCATTAAAAGAGTTCATCACAATTAAATCAACTAACAACTTCTGCACCACGTAACAACATTATGTTCTCAATTGCAGTCACTATTGTTGACATCTTGGTTGGTCCATCAGAATCATAGCATGTTTGTACATTTTCTCTATGAATATTATCCAATAAAAAAAAAAAAAAAAAATTACAACCCAATGTCTCACCAAAGCCTTAAAATAAATAAATAAATATATATATATAATTGTAGGAGCTACTATACCTTTTTCTGCAATACTCTAAGATGCCATTTGACAAGATTTAGTTTAAAATATTACTATTTTTAGTGATAAAATTCATCACTATAATAATAAAAATTTCTACTCACCAATACTTAGGTAGTACTGAAAGAGGTGAATTTCACCAATAAAAATAAAAATAAAATAAAATAATGAAGGCAGGAATTTTTTTTTTTTGGGAGGGGGGGTGGGGTTGGGTGTGTTGGGGAATGAACATGATTAACTAAAGTTGTTATGAATTTAAAGTACAAGAGAGAAAAAGAAAATAAGAAGAGAGAAAAGTTATTGCACATATATGAGTGCAGGAATAAAAAATTAAGAAGAGAAAAAAAATAAAAGAATGACGTAGAAAATAAAAAGAAAAGAAAAATGAAAGAATTTTAAAAAGAAAAATTATGCAAATTTTTTGAAAAGAGAAAATTTTATAGAGACATTTTGTAGAAGTTTGACAAATTTGTACATGTCTGTGTGTGTGTGTGTACATATATATACTCCATATATTAAGGAGCCACATTGGGGAGTTAAGCTATAGGAATGTTAAGTGGCTACTGTGGCTTGCTTTATATAAGGAATACTATACTACTGTGTGAATGAATGACAGGGAGTGGAAACAGGTAGAGAGAGAAAGAGAGAGATAGAGAGAGAGAGAAAGACTTCCTGATTTTACCTCATTTTACATTAATTTTGAGTTTTTAACACTACAAGAGAAAAAAAAAAAAAAAAAAGGTCTTTAACGAGTGTCTGGACCTCCTGTGAAAACTTTTTCACGGGACTTTTGAGCCCCTCGTCTATTATGGTACTGGAAATACTCTTCACTTGCTACCGGAAATAATAACACTCGTAAAAGATTAAAGCACGATGATTCTAGCATCCCGTAAATAAAACTCTCACGAGATTTCTAACCCTTCGTTAACAATTAATTTATGAGGAAAAAAAGTATTTTATGAGTGTCTGAACCTCCCGTGAAAACGTTTTCAAAGGACTTCTAAGCCCCTCATCTATTATGGTCCTATAAATACTCTCCTCTTGCTACGGAAAATAATAACACTCATAAAAGATTAAAGCAGACGATTCTAGTGTCCCGTAAATAAAACTCTCAAAAGAGATTTCTAAGACTTTGTTAATAATTAATTTACAACACTATTAATAATTGATTTACGAGATTAATAGCCTCTCGTTAATAATTAATTTATAAGTAATAATTAATGTAAGACACATTTATTTACGAGGACTAAAGCCCCCCTAGATAGCTATATATATATTTATATAATAAATGCGCTCTACTACCCAACCATTCACATATATAACTTGGCCACAGTTTCAACTAAACAATAATATAAAATGCTAAAAATTTACACTTAATGCCAATACCAAAAACAATCCATATTTAAATTCACCATTAAAGATATCAAAAGAGTAAGGCATTAATTTACAATTCATCATTAATTGTTTAACGTGCCAAAATTAAAAAGAAAATTCAATATTTTCTAGAAATATATATCAATCTTCACATTGTTCGTTAATTCCTGGCGCAAGTTGACTTCCAATTTTTCACACTTCCTCCACCTCATTGTCCATTGTATAAAATTCAAGCACGTACCTGCATCATACAAGTCCTAATTTTAGTATAATAATAATGTATATGAAGTAATGATAAAATGCTAGTTTTCTCTTTCATACTCTAAAATATTTACTAAGGTGTGAACATAAAAAATGAAGTTCCATACTTTGAGAAGCCAACAATCAAAAAACCCTAAAAAAAAAAACATGCAATCCACATGCCCATACTTTGCCAGGGACTCAACTCCGTCATGCAATCGTCCAATTCCAAATAGAACAAGAAGGTCAAAAAAGGGCAAACACAACACCCCGCAAGTGCAAGTTCTGCGTCTACAACTTGATTACCAGGAATGTCAACTGCCAATAAAGGTTTATACATAGAATGTAAGAAACATAACTACTATGCTTTTTAAATCTCCAAGGCACATTGATAATTTGACATCAAAGAAAAAATAACAACTTTAACATGGAACAAATATAGTTAATAGTTGTAAAACAACAACAAAGCTAAACTCATGCTAATAATTAGTTCAAGAGGACATATTGGAGAACTCATTGGCTTCAACATAATATACTACAAGAAAAACATATTGGATAACTTATTAGAATCATATCAACAAGTGAAATTTCTGTATAACATACAATTCAACAAAAAAAATAAGACAGAGAAAAATTTAATCAATGATTTGCTATCCTTTTTGTTCTTGTTCTTCCCTTTATTGAAATTATATCAATGCCATTATCTTTATCGCTTTGTAATTTTCTTTAATAATGCACTTAACTATTAGATCCAATCATCCAAATAAAACAGACCAAAAGTTTAAAATAAAGCAGAAACATGAATAATACCAATATGCAAGCAATGAAGAAAAATATTATGAAAACAAATAAGTATTACAAAGTTGCACTTTAGAACTGTTTTGTTATATCATTTATATGTTATTAAACAAATTCAATACCTTTGTTGTGATGGGTTTGCAGATTGCCTGTTTCTCATTGTGAATAATTATCATATTGCTCAATAACCACTCAAAAGTGCACAGTGTATGTTGTCCAATGCAAGGTTAGACAAAGCGTTTTGGGCTGAAGCTGTTTCTACAACTAGTTACTTGGTGAACTGGTCTACGGCGTCTATCGTTCTCTTTCTTTTCTCTTTTGGTTTTGACGGATCATGCTACGTTCGTATCTCAAAGTTGCAACCCTACCATGTCTCAATTTTCACGGGAAGATTCAATTGATAAAGATGTGGTCCTTAGGGTTGATCGTCAGAGCATTGCAGAACGTGAATCTGTACTAAAATCTTGTCTGGTTGGTCGATTTGATCGTGATGTGGGGTGCATTAAGAGGATTGAGGAGTGGGTGACGATATCTTGGCAGATCTCGTGTGGAGTAAAAGTCTCAACCCTACCTGACGGCTTGTTCTTGTTCCGTTTACCATCGGAGGCCGAAGCTTGTAGAGTTTTGCATGTGGGGAGGAAGAGATGGGGTGAAGCTTCCTTACACATCGACAAATGGGATTTTGCGGTGAGTTGCTCAGCCGTGGTTGATCATGACAGGTTACGAAGGGTGGTGTTGTTCGGATTGCCCCTCCATCTCTGGTGTCACAAACTGTTTGTAGCTATCGGTGACCTCTGCGGTGGGTTTAGAAGAGTGCAAGCGGATGATCAAGCAAGAGGCGAACGAGTTCTCATTCTTGTTTCCGCCGGAGCTATGGTGCCGTAGTTTGTTTTTGTTGAAGACCAACGAGTAGCATTCAAAATCAGGTTGATTGAGGAAACCTCACCTTGCATTCTTCCAAAATCCTATTATGGGTCTAGTGAGGTTTCTCTCCTCCCGTATGATGGAAAATTCAACGGCGGGCGTCATCGGCATTTGCAGGCTCAACTGAGTTCTCAAGGAAAACGAAGAGCGTTCGCCGACGCGCCAAAAGAGAGTGTGGTTGATAGATTTCCGAGGCGTACGCATAACGCCCGTTTTCCACACTTTTCAAATCCTCGTCTTGATCGCCTTAATGGTATTCAACCACGTGGCTTCACAAGGGCCTTTCATACAGCTGAATCAAATGGGCGTAAGTATGGGCCTCTATCTTCTGGGTTGAATAATGGGCCTTTAGGTTCTTATGGACCACAAGCTTCACTTAAAAGGAATGTTATGTGAAGGCCCAACAATAAGCTATCCATTTCTTTCCTAAATGATAAGCCCAACCCACATTTGCCCAAGTCCAGCCGTAATAATACTAAGTTACGTATTGGGCCATTTGAAGATTTAAAAAGATTGGTTCATTGGGGGCTAATAACAAGAAATCAGCTTCTTTTCTTAATACAAAACCTAGTCCAGCCACCAAACCAATTCATATACAGGATCGTCTTCCTCATGTTCCCTCTGTGAAATTCTGGAGCTTACCGGAGAAGAGGAGGTGGATGAAATTAAGTGAAGATGAGGCTGGTGTGGGAATAGATAAGAAGGGTTTTCGTCATCTACAGTGTTGCGCTGATGCTTTAATCAAGCCCCTTCCAGCTACATCTCCAATAATGGGAAACAGCTCTAGACTTTCATTTCGGGATTCACACAGAAACAACCATTTTTATAGATGGTCGAGAAAAGATAAACAAAAATGGACCTCCACTGACCCAGGTATGTCCTCTGTTTCTCATTCTCAGAACTCCCTTAACGCACCTTCTTCTTCTTCCACCCTTTCTGGAAAGGTGAGGGGCGATGTTGAGATGTCAATGGAGAAGAGTTGTGTTATGACTAATGTGCCTTCGCACCTGTTGAAGAGTTTGGGCTGGTTACAGAGACGATTGCCAACGAAATTGTCACTTCAGGCCAAACAGATTCACTCAATTGTGAAGTTCAGGACTCATCAGATGGGATCTTGGTTCGAGTTGGAAGAGACCTTCACTTTCAGTTGTCTAATGAGTCAACCATGGCTCTGCTCAAAGAACTTCGCCTTTATGTTGCTTTAAAAGGTTTTAATTGTACATCGTCTGTTGGGGAAGAGGAGAAAAAATTGGTTAGTTACTTGAGCAGTGGACTAGGAGACAGTACTGATTCTGACTCGTTTTCAGAGCCTTTTGATTTTGGAAGGGCTTGTGATGAGGAGGTGGCTACTGATTTGGTTTCTATCCAAGAAGTCTGCTCTAACGAGTCTGTACCTTGGATGGAGAATGATTTTTCTGAAGTGATAGAGGAGGAACCTTTGGCAATTGAGAGATCTGATTGTTCAATAACAAATGTTGATTTGGGTAAGGATTGGATGATTGAAAACATAGGAGCTGCTAGTGAGTTGCTAGGTGTTTCTTCAGAGGGAAACAGTAACCAAACACTTTCCATTCTTCAAGCTATAGTGAAAGGCAGAGAGGTTGCTGTGACTAAAGAGGTAGTGAACCCGAGGCCTTTATCATCCTGGAAAGGGGCACAGGAGATCAAGAATCTGATCTCTAAAGTCAATTATGAGGGAAAGAAGGGGGTGGTGAAGGAGAGGGGAAGGACTAGGAGTCGGAGCGTAAAGAAAGGAGGTGGGGAGATTATCTTATCTGGTTTTTAATGAAGCTACGAATTATTTCCTGGAACGTTCGTGGTCTCAACGACCTAAATAAAAGGAGGGTGGTTAAGGTTGCTTTAAGGAAGTGGGGGGCCCATGTTGTATGTTTGCAAGAAACAAAGTTGGCATCCATTACGGATGGGGTGGTAAGGAGTTTGTGGGGAGGAAGGTTTGTAGAATGGGAGGTTTTGAATGCTACAGGTACTTGGGGTGGTATCTTAATTATGTGGGATTGTAGATGGGTGTCACGGCTGGATGTGTGGGTGGGAAGATTTTCAGTGTCTTGCAAGTTCAAGTTGGAAGAGGACAATTTCAGTTGGGTTTTCACTGGGGTCTATGGACCAGTTGTTGATATTGATCGGCCTTTTTTCTGGGAGGAGCTTAATAATGCTCAAGAAATGTGGTTTCTTCCTTGGTGCTTGAGTGGGGACTTCAATTCTGTTAGATTCCCATTAGAGAGGTCCACAGGGGGTAGGAGGTCGTCTGAAATGGATCAGTTTTCTGATTTCATTGACGAGCATCTTCTTATCGATTTACCTATGGAAGGCGCAGCCTATACATGGTCTAATGGCAGGGACCCAGTCACTTTTTCAAGGCTGGATCGTTTTTTTTATTTCTGGGGAGTGGGAAGAAAAATTCCCGGATGTCGTTCAAGCAGTTTTAGCTCGGGTCATTTCTGATCATGTTCCTTTGGTCTTAGATTGTGGAGGTTTGAGTTCTCAAAGGTCTCCGTTTCGATTTGAGAATATGTGGCTAAGAGCGGAGGACTTCCAAGGGAAAGTTCAGTCTTGGTGGGAGGGAGTTGTTGTCATAGGCTCATCTAGCTTCATGTTAACTACAAAGTTGAAGGCTCTCAAATTCGATCTTAAAAAGTGGAATAAAGACGTTTTTGGGAATCTTGAATGGAGGAAGAGTAGAGTCCTTGTTGATTTTTATGAGATTGATCGCCTTGAAGAGGCGGGCGGGGATGTGGAGTTCTTGCGTTCTAGGAGAGCTTCTTGTCAGGCAGCTTTTGCAGAGATTGCTAGTATGGAGGAGATATCTTGGCGACAAAAATCTCGGGCTCTTTGGTTAAAAGAGGGAGATCGCAACACAAAATTTTTTCACAGACTCGCTAACGCTCATAGAAAAAGTAATCACATAAGACGTATTCGGGTAGAAGGTGTAGAGATGTGGAAGGAGGAAGATGTGCGTAATGGGATTGCTTCTTTTTATCAGAAGCTTTATACTGAACCGCTTGTTTGGAGACCCAAACTTGATGGTCTTCATTTCGAGGCCATTTCCGAGATCGACAGGGAAGGGCTTGAGATTCCTTTTACTGAAGAAGAAGTTCTAAAGGCCTTATCTAGTTGTAATGGGGACAAAGCTCCAGGGCCAGATGGTTTCACTATGCGGTTTCTTTTGGAAAGTTGGACAGTTGTGAAAAATGATGTCATGGGCACTTTTCAGGAGTTTTATTCTACTGGTGCTTTTGAGAAATCGCTTAATGCAACTTTCATTGCCCTTATCCCTAAGAAGGGAGGTGCTTCTGACATTAAAGACTTTCGTCCTATCAGCTTAGTGGGTTGTATCTACAAGCTTCTGGCTAAGGTCCTTACTCTTAGGTTGAGGGGAGTGATGGATGGGATTATTTCAGATTCCCAGAATGCTTTTGTTGGAGGACGACAAATTATTGATTCAGTTCTTATTGCAGGTGAATGTGTGGATTCCAGATTGAGAAGTGGAGTTCCTGGAGTTTTTTGCAAACTTGACATTGAGAAAGCATATGATCATGTGAATTGGAATTTCCTGCTTTATTTGTTTCAGAGAATGGGGTTTGGAAGTAAATGGAGGAAATGGATTGAGACATGCCTTTCGTCAGTCAAATTCTCTGTTCTTGTGAACGGGTCTCCTGTTGGTTTCTTTGGGTGCTCTCGGGGTTTAAGACAAGGAGATCCCCTGTCATCTTTCCTCTTTCTTATTGTTATGGAGGGTTTAGCAGACTTATGCGAAGAGCAGAGGATCTTGATATTATCAAGGGCTTCATGGGGGAAGAGATCCTGTTCATCAGATGGAGGTCTCTCATTTACTTTTTGCAGACAACACCTTGGTTTTTTGTGATGCTAATGTGTCTCAGCTTAGATATTTGAGGTGCATTTTGGCCTACTTTCAGGCTGTCTCTGGTCTGAAAGTTAATGTGGCTAAAAGTGTGCTTGTGCCAGTTGGAGAAGTTCAGGATATTTCTTCTTTAGCGGAAGTCCTTGGGTGTAGGGTGAGTTCTTTTCTAATTCAATATTTGGGCTTGCCTTAAGGGGTTTCCACTAGAACAGTGGGGTGTTGGGACCCTGTGATTGATAGGTATGCGAAGAGATTAGCGGGATGGAAAAAGCAATACTTGTCTAAGGGAGGGAAAGTTACGCTTATAAAGAGCACTTTATCGAGCCTTCCTACTTACTTTTTATCTATGTTCCAAATTCCATGCTCTGTTGCTGATAGGATCGAAAAAATTCAAAGGGATTTCCTTTGGGGTGGAAGAGGTGATGAATTTAAAGTATCACCTTGTCAACTGGGAACAAGTTTGCAAGCCAATGAAGTTTGGTGGTCTAGGTATCAGAAGACTGGTCCCTTTTAACCAAGCTCTTCTGGGTAAATGGCTGTGGAGGTATGGAAGGGAAAGGCATCGCTCGTGGCGACGGCTAGTTTCATGTCGATATGGGGAAGAGAGTGGTGGTTGGTCTACTCGTCCGGTTTCTCTAGTGGGAGGAGTTGGAGCGTGGAAATTCATAAGGGAGGGATGGGATGCTTTTTCTACTCATATCAGATTCAAAGTTCGTGATGGCAGATGTGTACGCTTTTGGGAGGATCTTTGGTGTGGAGACCAGCCTTTATCTCGTTTATTTCCCAGGTTTTACAGTATTGCAGTTGATAGCCTTGCCTACGTAGCCAACTGTTATCAACTTGATAGTAGAGGGATTACGTGGGACGTGCAATTTCGACGCTCTTTTCAGGATTGGGAGGTGGATGAGGTATGTGTTTTCATGGATTTGTTGTATCAACAGGAGGCAGTTGGCAGAGGTAGTGATGTCATGACATGGATTCCCTCTTCCCATGGTCGCTTTGAAGTTCGTTCCTTATTCTTATGTCTTTCTGATTTCGATATTGTTGATTTTCCATGGAAGACTATTTGGCGTTCTATGGCTCCAACTAGAGTGGCATTCTTTGTTTGGACCGCTGTTTGGGGTAAGATCCTTATGATTGATAATCTAAGGAAGAGGGGCAATTGTCTTGTTAATTGGTGTTGTTTGTGCAAACAGGATGGTGAGTCAGTTGCTCACATTCTAATACATTGTCCTATAGCGACGGATTGTTGGAATCTTATCTTTTGTCTGTTTCATATGCATTGGGTTATGCCTCGTTATCCTAAGGATTTGATTTGTATATGGAGAGGATGCCGTGTGAGTAGCGCTGTTCGCGATTATTGGAGAGTTGTACCACATTGTGTTTGGTGGTGCATTTGGAAGGAGAGGAATAGTAGAATGTTCGAAGAGAAAGAATCGTCCATGGCGAGTCTGAAACTTCACATCATACGCTCTCTTTTCAGTTATGTGAAGAGGAAGTCCGATTCTTCTTCCGAAGATTTAATTATTTTTTTGGCTTCTTTGGAATCTTAATCCCTAGTTCCACTTTTGTATAAGGGATGCGTTCCCCTCTTGAACGCCTTTTTTATTTCAATTATTACTTATCCAAAAAAAATAACCACTCAAAAGTGGGACAGGCAATCGGTTATCTATATTCACCATATAGAGTGCACGGAAATAAAAATTATACGATATGCATGTAGGATGAGCTTAACTCAGATTCAGCAACAAATAAGCTTAGAATGGTGCAGGTTTGAGATCATCCACTTTATACTAAAGCAGATGTTAGAACTGCTAGAAATTTAACTAATGCTCTGAGTAACTTTGCAAAGAATTCAGGATTGAAGGTCAGTCCAGAAAAAAGCACAGTTTTCTTTACCAAGTCTGTTAGGGGGAGAGGGAGACTGAGGAGGTTATTTCAATGCAATATAGGATCATTTCCTAAAATTTATTTGGGACTGCCTTTACTACCGACAAGGTTAAGGAAAATTCATTGTCAGAGCTTGATTGATAAATTCACATCTAGAATAAATGCTTGGAATGGTAAGTGTTTATCTATGGCTGGAAGGTTAGAGCTTGTGAAATCAGTTCTCACTTCTTTTGTATATTATTGGTGTTCTGTTTTCTCTTAACCGAAGGCTGTGATCAAGTACATGGAGAAGAAGATGAGGGATTTCTTGTGGGGATCTAATTCTGAGAATAGAAAATTACACGCTTTAGGTTGGAATAGAGTGACAAGTCCAAAGTCCGAAGGTGGTTTTGGGGTGAGGAAGATTGTAGACATCAATGGAGCAGCTACCTATGTTTCAGTTTAGAAATTTTTGAACTCAAAGGATTGCTTATGGGTGGCTTGGTTCAAATGGAAGTACACCAGACTAGTGTCATACTGGAACTATCATAATAAAACAACAGATTCTCTGTTGTGGAAGAAGATGCTGAAGGTGAGGGAGTTCATGCTTGCTAATGTTGAATTTCAAATTGGTAATGGAGAATCTACCTTTCTCTTTACAGATCCTTGGATACAAGTTGTACGTATGCTGGAGAAACTGGGAGATATAGTGTACAGGGACTTTGGGCTAACAAAACAAGCTCTCATTTCCAGAATCATACATGATGGGTAGTGGCAACTCCCTGTAAGCAATGCCAATTCAGTGCTGCAATTCAGAAATTTTGCTTTTTATTTGCTTCTGAAGCAGGGCTGTGATCGATTGAAATGGAGACATGGTTCAATCTCACTTAGGAATGTATGGGATACATGGAGGACCAAGTTACCGACAGTGGGCTGGTATGAAGTATGTTGGGGTGGATCGAGACCGAGAGCTTCACTGAGCTGTGTCCTTGCAATCCAGAGCTTTGTTAATTTGAAGAGGAGGGGAATCCCAACTGTGGCAATCTGTCATAATTGTTTTCAAGCTGAAGATGATTTAGATCACCTTTTTGTCAGTTGTTCTTTTGCTCAAGAGGTATGGCAGTGGTTGTCTACGCTCCCTGGTTGGCAGATGCCTCAATTTATTACACTAGAGCAACACATTTTTTGGTTTGTTCAGCAACGAATAAAACACAAGGCACAAAAAAGCATCTGTGCTACAACAATATGGTTTTTATGGGATGAGAGGAACAAGAGGCTACATCATGGACTTCATAGAACTGCTACCAACATTGCCCAGTCTATTTGTGGAGAGGTTTTACTTCTATCAAATATGGAATTAGGGGAATTTGGGGCAGCTTCATTACATGTTTAAATTGGGTGTTTTTTTTTTCTTTCCTCTTTTGTTTGCTGCAACTACGCTTCTGTAGTTATATTTCCTTCTATTTACAATTTCTTCTTTTATTTTCCAAGGGGATGCCCTTGTTGTTACTTGTATATTCTTGATAAATCTATAAACAATTTCCACATTTACCCAGGAAAAAAAAAAAAAAAAAAAGAAAAAAAGAAGCTAGCCTAAGCCCCATGTTACCAGACAAAAGTGAAACATATGTACAAGAAACACAAGTCCTCTAGGCTTTGGAGCTTGAACTCCGGGAGGGATTTGACCTGAGGAGGTTGTTGGATCATATTGGGGTCTAGATAACCAAGATTCACATTGTGGTATTCCATTGGAGTGATGTGATGATCAAAATTGGAATGAGAGGAATGCTAAGAAACTTTCTACCTCACGTACACAACAACAACCAACTTCACAACAATCAACAACAAATAACAATAAACCACAACCTCCACATACGATGTTCCCATACTCCCATGTTATATCAATGTAATAAAGTAATGGCCACGACAAGGACCCATGCTTTCAACATTAAAGTAATAGCCACGATAAGAGCCTATGCTCGGCAAAAGTTGGAAATCTAATTTTTACGCATATAATATTATTTTTCAACATAGGTCTTACAAGTTATAGCAATGGGACTTTAATATATCATTGATCAAGATCACTTTGGCAGGTTAATTTTACATGACTTCACATAGAGATAATTGATAAATGAACTTCATTAGCTAGTAGAATTCAGAACATACCTGCCAGAGATGAAGATTGAGAACCAGAACTATGTTCCTAATCTTACTTCAAAAGTAATGGTTTTGTTCTGCTCCTAATAAGCTGGTTAAAGTAGATCCTGTGAGGAAAAAAATTAAAAATGTAATGCCAACATAGATAAAAAATAAAAGAAAATAAAATCAGATAATATGTTAATTACTACTTTTCAAACAAAAAAAAAAAAAAGGTTAATGAATGACCAATTGACCTCTAGAACTTTCACATATTTGGTAGGCCATATAACCGTGCAGAATTCACAAAAAAAAAGTGGTTAATTTGATGACTGACTTGAAAACTATCCCATTCTATTTATTTTCCTGGAACTGTAACTAATTTAATACCATACCATCAATCCATATCGATTTATATATATATATATATATATATATATATATATATATATATATCAAATGCATAGTTGCATAGTAGGTAAATACAGAAACAGAAGAACCCAATTCTTAAAAGGGATGATGTTGACGCCGTGGAGATACATACAAATGGATGGTAGCCTTAGAGCTAGCTCTCAACAATTTTATAATTTCCACATGTCATGCATAGGGAGTCATTTCGTTTTATTCTTGTTATCATTTGAGCCTGAGCATCTATTGTCTAAAATGGAGTTCTCATTCAAACTGCTACCAGTGGCATATGCCATAGTTATAAAGTGCAATGTCATCAAATTTTGAAAGTCCACTCATCATCTTGTGCATGCAATGTAATAAAATCATCTCGGCTGCTCTGAAAAACTAATAACTTACTAATGCTTTCGTAGAACGAAATGTTGAAATCCTTTCTTCCGTAATTTGCCCAAAAAATAAGAAAGAAAAGAGTAAAAGGTCATATAGAGCTTATGATTGCCTGCTTGAATTTCTTAACTCATTCATGTTTATTCTTAGGCAGACTACATTGTTTGAAAAACTATGGAATTCTTTGGGAGATTCAATTGGATATCTCAGACTTGTAGCATATGGAAACTGTCCCTGCAATTTAAATAAGCAGATAATTGATTTGTTTTGGGCCTCTGGCAGTACTGGATACATAGTTTATTGCAATGTGTTTAGCAGCTATCCATTTTTTATTTTTTATTTATTTTTTTTTTTTTTTCCGAGTTAAACATAAGTACTACACCTATTGTGAAGAATTTACTTAACATGAATTATTAGTGTTCTCGCTAGCTTCTTTTTTCTTTTTTCTTTTTTCTTTTTTATTCTCCCCTATCGGGAGTTGATTTTTGTCTCCAGGATTTGTTGCAATCCTTGGTTAGTTCTTGGGTTTCTGGTTTCAGTCTGGAAGCTTTTGAAAAAAATTGGACAATTCACTAGTTGATTTGGAATAATTCTAGTAGTACTATTTCTCATTATTTGCTCATTCGATACTCTCCAGTAATTTGTCAAAACATTTCAGGACACAAGATTTCTGTTTTAGGTCTTGTAAGAGCTTTGAGGTGCTTTTAGATCTTCATTGTTGCATTTTCTTTTTTCCGTTGTTTGTTTGTTCATTATACTTGTGGAATAGGCCTATATTTAGAGGCCTTAAAATGTTTATGATGAAGGGTGGCAAACTTGAAGGTTAGTTTTACAAGGAACTGGGAATAGGAGCTGATTTTATCCATGTGTAATTTGTACTATTTCTCTCAATTCTCCCAGTGAACCTTGGTTGTATTAGGTCTTGTTGTTTAGCCAAATTTATGATTTTAATTTTGTATATATGGATATCCTGATCTCTTTTTTCCATCACTTTCTTGTAGGGACGTTTTGACATTGTCTCACAACATGGGTCATTCACCCCCACAGAGGTTGAGGGATCCAAATTTAGTAGGGCTGGTTCCTTGACCATATCTTTGGCAGGCCCTGATGACCATCTCTTAACGAGCGTACTTGGAGGACTATTGTAGATGCCAGTCCTGTCCAGGTAAGTTCTTTTTTCTTTCTAGAAAGGAAAAAGACAAGGCTACAAACCTGGTTGCTTCTCTCTCTCTATTTTTATAAATATAGATGTAGATATATTTTCTTTTTTCTTTCCATTAGGGAGTTAGAAGGGAGGGGTTGACTTTATTCTATTCAGACTATTTGGTTAATGAACGTGGCTGTGGATTATATTCCTAACCAAATATTAGATAGCTGGATGTTTTCAAAATCATCTTTGGCGGCTGAATGATTTTACTCTCTTTAAGTACTCTCGAGTGACATTGGATGGAAATTCCTTACTTGTGTGATGAACCATGGTTCATCGCTTTACTGACCCTTTTCTTTTCATTTCAGTTGATCCTGGGCAGTTTTCTTCCAAGTAATCAGAATGAGCCGAAACCCAAAACGCAGAAATCTGGGACTAAAGCAGCTACGACTGCTCCAAGCTCTGCTGCTAATCCTTCTAATGTGGAGAAGCATCAAAATTCAGCAGCCCAAAATCTGAATTTTGCTTCACCTTCTACATTTGGGACGGATAACTGGGCCAGCATGCAGACCATGCAAAACCCAGGAAAGTCCACCACCGACATCAACATATCTTTGCATGGAGAAAAACTAATCTTTGATGAGTACAGGTTAGTTTTCATGATGTTGAGGATTCAACCATATCATACATGAACAGGGTATCCTCTATTATGGAACCTAATCTACACTGCTTCAATTTATGGCAGATGCGCACCAGTAATTAAAAATCCACTATAAATGCTTTATATTTTAACTAATACTTTTCTGAGAAGTTGTATATATGATATAACCCACAAACCAAAGTTGGATGGTCGCCCCATGAGTGGAGACATTGGAAGAGATGCCACAAGGGAAGCAACTGCATTTGCCATTCGCTTGGCTGCTGCTAAAGACAGACCTCGAGGTATGTACATTTATATAATGAATATGGTTTTAAGTTCATATATTACACTTGGTTCACATCAACTCTTTCCATATTATATGTTTTCTTCAGTTGGCGGGTGGTACTAATGTTCACCCGATAAACGGGGGGTTGAAGAAAGAGGGACTTTTCCAGAACACATCCATAGCTAGTATATATCTTGCATCATGTTTTGTACTTTTTTTTTTTTTTTCCTCCCTTTTATCTTATCACATTAGCATTCTTCGTTGTATCTTTATTTCTTTTGGTTTCTAACTTTTATTTTTATTTATTTATTTTTTATTAGTAGATGAAATATTTCCTGTGAATTCAATTAGTCAAAAGGATGCTTTAATTGGCGGGGTTGCTTATGGTGGCTATGCACGGAAGGTTAATCTTATTTTCAATGATCATGGGCACTTACAAAAATACACTTCTAATTGTGTGTACATTTATCTTCTCTTTAAAAGACTTACTAAATTGTTCACTACTGAAATTATATACAATAATCTTCTATTTGCCCTATAACCGTATCAATTTGTTCTATTCCCAGATTGTTGTAAGGGTTTTAAATTCCATGGAATCCCGGCATGCACTTGCTTGCATTGAGGAATATGCGGAGCGTCTTTTTACGGCACTGAAAGAAGCCCTTGCTTTGGTTGGTACTGTCAAGTGCTACACTAAGGGTTCTATGGACTGCCTCTTTTAGCTGGATATGTTCAATTATATACAAAATGAGTTGGGCAGAGGTACTCATGAAAATCCAAGTTGTTTGCTTTTATAATCAAACTCCCTCAATCCACATATTTTCACATCTCTTCTTACAGTTAAGCACTTCATTTATCATTTAACTATATCAAGGTATACTGGCACTTATTTTTTCCTTTTCTTTTACTTATAGGTTTAATAAAATATATAGGTTTAATTTCCAGGGAACTTTTTGAAAATTGACAAGCTAAAGCATTGACATCAACAAAAATTGAAATCAGCACACCTTAGATCAAAAATCGAGCAAAACTCCTCTAATTCAGAAACTTAGGCGCCTCTCTATTGAAGCACACCTAGTGGGCCTTTTCTTGGGAAGCAAAGGAAATGAAAAACCATATAAACCAGTTAAACTCTCGCAACAGGATTAGGACCGAGGAGTACTTGCAGTTCTAATCTTGATCAATCTTCTTATCTCTTTTATTTTATCTTAGTAATTTTGGTTGCTTTGACAATTTTTAATTAGAATTGAAAAATGAATTTTTTTTAATAAAAGTGATAATTTAAATAATTAAGAATTTAGAATTTTCATGGTTTTATGTTGGATCAGTTTTGTATGTTAATATTAATAGAGGTGAGAGGAGTGAGAGCAGCCTCACCGTAACTTCATTCCATTATATCAATGTTTTAAAAATAATAATAATTCTTCACCATTGATGAATTAAAAATTAATGATAAATACAATTCTTCTTTTAGTTTCAGCATTGGTTTCCTTATGGTGTTAGGGTAAGTTTCCTTATGTATCGGGTTTCCCTAAGCGAAATTGGCTTAACAATTAGTTAAGGGTGGGGTGTTTACAGGTAGGAGAATAATTGGGAAATTCAAGTACCTTGACATCCAAGCTTCCAATTAATTTCCGATTCAAGCAAGGAGGATATATATATATATGTGTGTATATATATATATTAAATGAATGCAAAAAAAAAAAAAAGTGAAACCCAATCAATAATTAAATGGAAAACAAAAAAAAAACCCAAATCTAGTCACAACCAAAGCAAATCCAGCAAATAAAATTGACAATAAACCAAAGAAAAAATTATGCATGTGTTAGCCCTAAAAATTGTTTAAGAAATAGGGATTGAAGAAAACCCTTAAAATGTTTGAGAAAGAGGGATTGCAGATTACCTGAAGAATGAAGGTAAGTCCGGATCCTCAGTTCTAGAGAGTAAAGAGAGGGTTGAACAAATAGCTCTGTGTTGGTCAAGGTAGAAATTGATTGAGATTGCGCCCAACTCTCCTTTCCCTGTCGAACCAGAACTTCAAGCGGAGATGGAGATAGAACTTCAAGCGAGGCAAAGATTTGAGATAGAACTTCAAGCGGAGATGGGGTAAATGATCTGGCCTCCTCAACAGAAATAATGGAAGAAAGAAGATTAGGGCATTTTGAGAGACTGGCCGAGTGTTATCGGCAACTTACTCAACAACGGTGGAGTAGCGCTCATAGGAATGAAATTAAGAGCAGAGTTTGTGTAAATGGTGACATGGAAAATAGGGCTAGCAAATTTTGGCTGACTATTGGATTTTTGCACGTGTGGGAGACGAAAATTGTGGGCGTGATTTTTATTTTTTATTTTTTATTTCATATTCACGGGAGAAAAATACTCCCGTAGAAATATATTTAATTAATAAGTGTCTTTTCTCCCGTTAAAGTTGAATCAATCCTTCGTAAATATATGTAAACATTAACCACTTTAAACTCTCGTGAAAACCGTTTTTTACGAGCAGGGCCGGCCCTGAAATTCCAAATATTTTGAGAGGTCCTAGGCGAACTTTCAAATGTGAGGCCCTTGCGTTTCACACGCGCAAAAAAGAATTATAAGAGTGCGAAATTTTAACACCATGTTTTTAAATTCTATAGCTAATATAATTGTGCCCTTGTGCATTGTGCATAAGGCAACTAACTAATAACTATAAATTTATCACCACCAACAAATAATTGTGCGCCTGTACAGTGTGCATAAGATAACTAACTAATAAGTATAAATCTATCATCACCAATAAATAATTGTGCGTTTGTACAGTGTGCTTAAGACAACTAACTAATAAGTATAAATTTTAATCACCACCAATAAATAATTGTGCGCAAATTGTGCGCATGTGCAGTGTGCATAAGACAGCTAACTAATAACAATAAATTTATCAATTAAAGAGTGCGAAATTTTCACAGGCACAAAATAAAAAATGAAAGAGAACAGAAAACTGCAGCTTCTTTTACATTCATTGTTTATATAGTTACTAAAATTTGATGATTACATATGAAAAAAATATGTGGTGATGACGTGACTATATATATATATATATATATATAGGAGGCTGAACTTGTAGTACTGAAGAAGTAGTGGGACTTTTAGGTTATATGTGTCATCCACTATCATATATATAGTTTTCTCTTTCACTCTTTATATTAACTACACTGCACTTTGTGTGTGTGTTTTTTGGGAGCCAATTACCCGCAGTGATTGATTGATCATTGCTACAGAAGACCTGTGCAAATTAATAGAAAAAACCATTAACTTTTGTTTTGTTAAAGCCTGCTCTTGATTTCCAGGTGTTTGTACATTCTGTTGGCAAGTGCTTTGACAGTATTATTAACTGAAATTCTAGCTGAGCCAACTTCAAATAACATCAATAATGGTACCTGCCATAGATTATGGACTCGATCGCCATGAAAGACACATGTAGAAAGGCACACATTTATTAAAATACTAAGAGAACCATAATATATTCATTCAGCTTTTGATAGCCATCACACACAATGACACACACAAAACCCTAGCTACTTTTCACCATTGGAACAAAGGTAAAGGCCCGAATCAAACGAACCAAAGTTAGAACAAATCAAATGATGAGATGAACGAAAGAAAGAAACATATATAAAAGATCGATTCATGCAAAAGGAGAGAGAAGAGAGAAGAGAGAAGAGAGGATGAACATACCTTGTCACCTGAGGAGATAGCGGAGGCTGCGCCTTGCGGAGTGTCGAAGCAGATTGTGTCGTCTGAAACTTGCCCTAACTTTTTTTTATTTTTTATTTTTTCCATCCCCTATGGGCCTCAAAAATTTGAGGCCGTCTAAAATCTGAGGCCCAAGGTAACCGCCTTGGGCCAGGGCCGGCCCTGTTTACGCATTTTGTGAAGACGTGACCCCTTATGTATAAAAAATAACTTTTACAAAAGAAATAAAAGATCTCGTAAATATTATCTCATAAAAATTCACTTTTCTTATAATAAATATATATCTTCATTTTTTTTTTTCGGTACTCTAAATATATGCATCTTCAAAGTCCTCTATCATATGAGCTCCCACCTTTTATGGATGGTTGGATGCAGCGTTAAAGCCTCCCAACACTTCAAGGCTAGCCAGCCACACAAACTAATAGAAATATATATATTAAAAGCCCCTTTAATTTTTAAAAATCCCTTGCAACTTTAATTGCAAATATTGATTATACATATAAATATTATATTTTGCAAAAGATTTCAGAATCTAAGGCTTTATATAACAAACAACAACCACGCACCAACAGCATCTTAGGAGAACATCCACGTGGCAAGTGCCGAGGCCATCCCATGTAGCCTATGATCTTGAGATGTGAAGAGAAGATCTCTTTTCAGGCCCTATTGAATGCATTTGATTTGACAAGATTCTTGGCTTAAGACTTAAGATGGGATTAGTTTAGAACTCGAATGGCGAATTGTATAAAGCATGAAACTAGCTAATAAAAAGTATGTTTTTTTTGTAATTGACAGAACCTAAGAGCATAGTTAAAGGCCAAATATATATAAATATACATAGGGATGAGGAAAAGTAGTGGGAATCGAAAAGCAACCCCAACATGGGCAGCTTATTGGCTCAACAAGTGATGGTGGGCTGCACATGAGAAAGCCATTGCATGCTTTGCTTTGGTCTCATCCGAGGATTGTAATTAAAATATTTTATTGATCAGAGGACCATGCCACACCCATAAGTTCACCAATATTATGCATTATGTGTGTTTATATATATACGAACTCTGTAATATACGGAATATTAAAAAGAATTAACAAACTAAAAGGATGCATGGTAACAGTCTCTTTTTAATCTTTTGGTTTTATTCCTAATTGTAATCGCCGTTGTCCTTTTTTTTTTTTTTTTCAGATAAAGAATATGTTCACACATTTATTTTCAACAGAAATCAAGAGTAAGCCTAGAGCTGTTGGATGGAAACATCACAAAGTCAGAAGATTGTCAGCAATTAATTTTTGATAGAACGATAGGGTGTGAGTCTGAGTCAAAATCTATTATACTTTGTTTCATATATAGTGTATCGTTTATGAGATTTTTCTCACAACAATTAGTCCCTTCTACCAATTGAGATATACTTGCTAAAAATTATGGTGTCATATCTCTAACTTTACTTTCTTTAATTTTTAGTATTTATTTTTGTGATTGTGTATATTTAATTGATCATATTATTTAAGTAATTTAATCAATCACAATAAATAAAAATTTTTTGAACAAGTTGACTTATTAATCTCATATAGATCATTAAAAAAGTTATTCACAATTAAATCAACTAATAACTTCCGCACCACGTAACAACTTTATGTTCTCAATTATGGTCACTATGGTTGACATCTTGGTTGGTCCATCAGAATCGCAGCATGTTTGTACATTTTCTCTATGAATATTATCCAATAAAAAAAATATTACAACCCAATGTCTCTCACCAAATCCTTAGAAAATATATATATATATATATATATAATGTTAGGAGCTACTATTCCCTTTTCCGCAATACTCCAAGATGCCATTTGACAAGATTTAGTTTAAAATATTACTGTTTTTAGTGATAAAATTCATCACTACAATAATAAAATTTTCTACTCACCAATACTTAGGTAGTACTGAAAGAGGTGAATTTCACCAATCAAAATAAAAATAAAATAAAATAATGAAGCCAGTAAATTTTTTTTTTTTTTTTTGGGAGGGGGGTGGGGTTGGGTGTGTTGGGGGATGGACATAATCAAATAAAGTTGCTGTGAATTTAAAATAGAAGAGAGAAAAAGAAAATAAGAAGAGAGAAAAGTTATAGCACATACTCATTTATATGAGTGCAGGAATAAAAAATTAAGAAGAGAAAAAAAATAAAAGAATGACGTAAAAAATAAAAAGAAAAGAAAAATGAAAGAATTTTAAAGAGCAAAATTATGCAAATTTTTTGAAAAGGGGAAATTTTATAGGGACATTTTGTAGAAGTTTGACAAATTTGTACATGTCTATATATATATATATATATATATATATATGTATATATTATGTAGAGACACACTGGATGCAAGGAGCTGCTCTAGAAAGGGGAATATCAGGAAGGAATTAAAAATAAAAAAAAAAACATGGAATTGTATGTATGTATGTATATACATATATATATATATACTCCATATAATAAGGAGCCACATTGGGGAGTTAAGCTATAGGAATGTTAAGTGGCTATTGTGGCTTGCTTTAAATGAGGGGTACTGTATTACTGTCTGAATGAATGACAGGGAGTGGAAACAGGAGGGAGGGAGAGAGAGAGAGAGAGAGAGAGAGAGAGAGAGGCTAGTGAGTGATGTGTAAAGGTGGGTGGCGACCGAATTATTCTTTGCGGGCGGGAGAGAGAGAGAGAGAGAATGGATGGATGAATATATAAGGCTTGAAGCTCTGATACAGAAGACCCGAGCGTTAGAAATTTTTGCTAGGTTTGTTTTGGAGTAGTGCAACAACCTCGAAGCTAGTTCAAACTAGTGGGAGGTTGTCTGCAGAGAGAAAAATCAACTCAAAAAACCAACAATCATCAACTATATATATATTTAAGCAGCAGTTCGATCAATATATATACATACATATATATATACAAACACAGATATATATATACATATGGCCCGTGGAAAGGTTCAGATGAAGCGGATCGAGAACCCGGTGCACAGACAGGTTAGCTTCTGCAAACGCCGAGCTGGGCTTCTTAAGAAGGCTAAGGAACTTTCTGTGCTGTGTGATGCAGAAATCGGTCTTATCATTTTCTCCTCCCATGGAAAACACTATGAACTAGCCACCAAAGGGTCTCCATCTCACCATCTCTCTCTCTATATATGTGTGTGTGATTTTGTTTATTTTCATGGTCGGATTAATTTCTTATTGAACTAATTGGATCGTTTGATTATGCAAAATTATATATGTATAGAACCATGCAAGGGCTTATTGAGAAGTACGTGAAGTCCACCGGAGGAACTGATCAGGCTGACCAAGCCAAAGGAAAGCAAATTCTGGTACGTCATACCCTCTCCTCCTTACAGAATTAAGATTAAGATCATCTCTGTCTCTCTGAGGTACTTGTACAAAGATGTGTGGAATGTTATTTTCATTTATAATAGTATTATATATTGTTTTCTTTTAAAGAAATTAATTATAAAGTATTATTGTTATTGTTAATTAATTACTTATTCTGTTCCATATTAATTGTCAATGTTTGGTTTTCTAACCTTTTTTTTTTTTTTTTTTTTTTTTAAGGAGGCCAATTAATGCATTGTTTTCTTTTTAAATTACTAAGTCGCCCTTTAAATTTTAAAAATATAAAACACAAGTTGAAAGATTCTTAGAAAGTTAGAATGGTAATTATAGAAATATTGCATTTAATTTGTTTGACTTTTAAAAAGTGAGAACTAATTTAGGACATCTAAAATGAAAAAAAAAAAAAAAAAAAAAAAAAAAATTGACAACTAATATGGGACAGAGGGAGTAGTCCGTTAATAACAATAATAAAGAAAAATCAAAAATCAAAAAGCCTCAGTGGCCTAATGATGTCTCCTCTACCTCCTAAAATCCTATGTGGCCGGCACATAGTGGTTAGGTTTAACGGGCCAGGTGTTTCGCGGATCTAATATGGGATAAGTCCCTTAGTAGCATTCTTCCACACCAGAACTCATAAGTCGTAACGCCCTTATTGCAGTCGGACCACCTTACCTACTCTGGGAGAAGGCCAACCCGAACGCCTTTGAGCGGGGCACTTGGCTTGACATTGGATCAACGTCTGGGCACAACGCATTTGATCCGCTTCCCAAGTTAAGGGTGTAACTGTTGGGAATTTTATAAAAATTCATTCATACACAATAATACACATATGAGACTTATCATTCTACAAATTGACATATACAAAAATACATAACTCATAATATAATTGGGGCTGCAAATGAATTGAGCTGTTCATGAATAGCTCGGCTCGGGATCGTTCGTTAACTAAACGAGTCGAGCTTGAACTCATTTTTTAGGCTCATTTAATGAACGAGCCGAGTTTGAGCAATGATAAACTCGGCTTGTGAATCTCGTGAACAAGCTTATTTACATAAAATTGACTATATTTAAAGTTTAGACCATATCACATATGTTTCAATGGCCCAAAAGTTTAGACCATATCACATATGTTTCATTGGCCCAATTCATTTTATAATCTTTAGAAGCCCAATATTTTCTTGTTCTTTTTCAGATTAGCAACCCATTTTTATTAATTAATAGCCCAGCCAACTCATGACTTAATCTCAGCCATTGAATAAATTTTTCACATCAAGTTAAAGAGTTAGATACATGGATAGAAACCCTAAACTGGTAGTTGTAGCAACTACGTTTCCTTGTGCCGGAAACATTTCTGTAACAGAAATCGCATAACTTGATCGGCGATAAGAAGGTTAGTTATCTCTCTTAGTCTCCTTCTCTCTCTCCACTCTAGTAAAATTGTGTGATGGAACTAAAGATCGATGCTTATGGAATTTGACGCTGACAAATCTCTCTCTTTCGCTCTCTCCACTCTAATTATATTGTGATGAAACTGGAGTTGGAGATCGATGGTTATGGAATCTAAAGCTGACAAATCTCTCTTTTGCTCTATCCACTCTGATTATATTGTGATGAAACTGGAGATGGAGATCGATGGTTATGGTTGGAATCAAAAAAAGAGGACGAATTATGGTTTGAATCGATAAAAGGGAGGATGAATAATAAAGATTAGATGGATGATTTCATAAGTCGACAATTGAAGTAAAGTCGTTCCTAGAAATTTACACATATACGAACCAAGCCGAAGCTGAGCCCGAGCTTAACGAAAAACTGCCGAGCTGAGCCTGAGCCCGGTTAGTCCAAGCTCGGCTGAGCCCGAGCCCGAGTAAGCTAAAGCTCGGCTGTGCTCGATTCATTTGCAGCCCTAAATATGATCTTAGCAGATAACACTAACAAAATTATAATGCTTTAAATAATACAACAATATCATCAAGTAGAATGAACATCATTTTATAAAATGGAATAAAAGCATAAAATTGATAGTTGTACAAGTAATATCAACTTGAACACAATAAATAATATGATAATACTAATATTTATAAAAATAAAATAGATTTAATAAAAGTAGATAAACCTGGCCTTTGAGATATAGAGACGTATTAAGTATTGTCTTTATAAAGTCGATACTTCCTTCTCACGTGCGAGTGTACAGTAGTAAGGGCTCTAAGATACAACTCAAGAGCTCGTATGCAGAGCTCGTAGGCGATGTCCCCTCTAAGCACGTCCGAAGGGAGATGAGATAACCATATTGACATCTCGTTTTCCTTAAAATATGTAAAGTAAAGAAGACAATGAATACATAAGAAGTTTAACATAGAATATTTCCTCACACACACTTTAGATATGGTGGAGATAGAAGACCACTATTTATAAATATTTAAAATATTGTATCATCTTTGGGATAATAAGTATATAATATAATGCTCAATTAAATCACCATCAATATATTTATTTATTTTCCTAATTGGTGTTGTATTATACATGAAAATATTAAAAATTACAGGTGTAAAGAGGGTATACCCTCAAAAATGATGGGAAACGAAACTATGGAATGTGCCAACCCTAATGAGAAGGTTCATTTCGAATACACCACAAAAACAAGAAAACAATGCCTAAACCTGCAAATCATGGAGTGAGGCATGATGAACATCAAGCACTTCAAACATCATGCATCTGGCAACATCTTCAAGATGCCTATAACCGGCCTCATGAACTTGGCATTCATCTCTTGCCAAATACCTAGACAATTATAACAAATAAACTTATGTAAAGAGATGAGTCTTGATATCTTTGCTACTACCAAATAAACCAGTCCTAGAAGTGATCAGCACCATGAAGTTAAGGTAATCCCTAACCCATCAAATTCCCTAGCCATCTCCATATTGCCTGAGCAAAGGGACAAAAAAAAAAAAAAAAAAAAAGAAAAAAAAAAAAAAGACGATTTCTAGTATCCGAGTTATATAAGTAGGTGGAGCATCTAGCTGCTACTTGAAATTTTCTCCTCTGTAAATTAACCATAGAGGGAAGTCAGCAACACAAAAATAGCATTAACAAACTATCTAAGTCTGCTATTCCCCCACATAAACCATGTCAGTCCACAATAGCATGAGAGGTCTTAAAGGTTTGCCATGCTTTCTTAAAGGAAAATTTACCATCCTCCCATAAGAGTTTATCAGCACCTGTATGAATTGTTATAGAAGCCAAAAACTCTTTCAATGGACCATATATATCATCCCGAAGTAAAAATTCATTCCAGCCACCATTAGGCATAAGAGAGTGTAATTTAGAGCTCCTATGAAATGACAAGTTCCTAGTCACTCTATGACCAGACCTTTGAGATAATGTCTGTCCATTGCACCATGGATCCAAAAATAGGTTGATAGTTTATCCATCCCCAATATAGAATTTAGTATTCTACAACATATAATCCCTAACATTGAGGAAAGACTCAGATAAATGAATGGGAGGTTGCAGGGATATCATACCAATAAGATGTAGAAGCAGCATACTTGTTTTTGAACTAAGTGACCTATAACATATCCTTGCTGAGAAGATAGACGTCCCACACCAGAGTATATTTAGCAGTAGCCTGAATATCAGAAATTTTCCTTATCCCCAAGCCTCCCTCAGCCTTGGTTCTAGTGATAAGATCCCAACTAAGTAGGTGCAGCTTCTTTGCATTGTCCTTACTACCCCAAAGGAAGTCACTACACAATTTCTGAATGTGATTGATGAAAAAAACTGGTAAGTTGGACATAGATCACTAGTATAAAACAAGGGAGGTCACCACAGTATTCAGTAGCTCCACCTTGCCAACAATAGACAACAATTTGTTGTTCCAACAAATAATCTTCTGAGAAATCCTGTATACAAGACTATTACAATGGATTCTTTTCAAGCCTATTTGAATACAAAGGCAAACCCAAATTCTTCAAAGGTAACTATTCTTCATTACATTGAAACACATTCAAAATAGCAGTTTTCCTTCTAACAGCATTTGAAAACAACACAACACTCTTCTGTCTAATAACCTGTAATCCAGCGGTCTCTTCAAAAGTTTTAAATACCCTAGAGAGGGTTCTGGCATTTGAAACAGAGGCCTAACATGAAACTAGGAGGTCATCTGCAAAGAATATGTGGCTCAATGTAGAATTTGTCATTTGGACTGTATGAGAAACCCTCAATCTTTGGTCCCGCACTTCCTTATTTAGCACTTGAGAAAAATGTTCAGTTACCAAAGTGAATAGAAGAGGGGACAGTGAATAACCCTATCTAAGCCCTCTACTAGGTTAAATGAAACTAGCAGGAGATCCATGTATAAGAATGGAATATCTTATGGTTGAAAGAATGATTGAGATCCATTTAATCCAATTCTCACAAAAACCATACCCTAGAAGAGCTTTCAACAAGAAATCCTAAGATACGGAATCATGTCTTCCTAATGTTAACCTTTATAGCCATGGTAGGATGTCTAGGGCTGTTGAAATCCTTGACTATTTCATTAGCCATAATTAAATATCCTGAGTCTTCATTCCTTTGATGAAGGCGCATTGCTCAATCCCCATAATTTTATGTAACACAATAGAGAGCCTACTTGCAAGGATTTTGGTAATAATTTTATATACTAAATTGCAAAGAGCAGTGGGTCTAAAATCACCAAGATTTATAGCATTTCCTACCTTAGGGATAAGAGTGAGGAAAGAACTACTTACCCCAACAGGCATGGAGCTTTACTTAAAACAAAGTTGCACAAGAAGCACCACCTCAGCACTAACAATAGACCAAAAGGTTTGGAGTAACCAGGCAGGATACCCATCTGGACCTGGGCCCAACAGACATGGAGCTTGACTTAAAACAATGTTTCACAATAAACATCACCTCAGCACTAACAACAGACCAAAAGGTTTGGAAAAACCTAGCAGGAAATCCATCTGGACTT